TACATTTTTCTGATAAGTAAAGCTAGAACAAATGTTATTCCTTGTTATTGTGTTATGAAAAAATGAGATAAAGTGTATGTGTGTATATGTGTATGGTGTACTTATGATTTTAAACACGTCATTGAAATTTCAAACGAAAGAGTGGTTTAATAATAACAATTATTATCGAATATGTACGTTATAATGTTTTTCATCTAGTTAAAATATAAAATTAGATATTTATAGAATAAGTAAATACTTTTTTCTGATAAGTAAAGCTAGAACAAATGTTATTCCTTGTTATTGTATTATGAAAAAATGTATGGTGTAATTATGATTTTAAACACACTGTTGAAATTTCAAACGAAAGAGTAGTTTAAGGTTAAATACGTTTGAAGAAAAGGGAATAATATCTATATATACGTAACGAAAAGATAATAAGTTATGTTAAGAAGTTAAGCTAAGAAATTACGTTGAAAAAATAAATTGAAATCATGATGAACGTTTGTAAAGAAATATTACGATAATTTAGAAGAAAACAAAACTATTGTAAGTTGTATTATTTAATAAGTTAATAAACACCATTCTATCCAATTATATCTCATCATTAATTAACATATATATAAATTAATTATATATATTTACTTTTATCTTTTCTTTACTTTCTAAGAAAAATTAATGAAACTTTTATTAAATAGAATTATATTTTAAAAATGAAACAAATCCTATATAGATATATTATGTATTGTAATATTTCCAGAAAAAATAGAAACGACATAGAAAACGAATTCGTGACTACGATGGTCATTATAGGATCCCATTAAATCCTGAACGTGAGAAAAGAGATGCTTCCTGATATAAAAATGTATAAACAGAGAGAGGGAGAAGAGGCTGACTTTTCTGCAGGGAATCATTGTTTAGGGTCTATAGGAAGAATTATTTACAAACGAGAAGGGTGAGTGACCCAAGAAGGGCGCCCGAGAAAACGTTTACGAGAGAGATGAAAAGGGAAGATCATCTAGATAAAATGGTGAGAGCTTGCTGAGCGAGAAGTTACCTTTAAATCATTTTCCCTTTCAACGAACCTGAAAAACCTGCCTTTCTTCTATATTACACCTGTTTTCATTTCTTACGTCTTTATTTATATTCCTGTTTCATCACAAATGTTAACTTACAAATCGAATCGTATAATCGCGATCATTTTATCCAATTAAATATTTATAATATCTGATCTAAAGTTTTTCAAAATACGAATAAGTTAATTATAATTCTCGAAAAAATCACAATAAAACTTATTTGAAAAAGTTTCATTTGAAAATAATTCGTCACGTATAATAAAACAACAAACTGTTGTGTGTGTGTATGGGGGAAGGAAAGGGGGAACTATTAATTGAAATTTCGAAAAATCGAGTCATTCATTTGGAATAAGATTTTTCGATAAAGATTATAAATCGTATGAAAAAAAATGAGATTAGAATTATATAAATGTTAGTCAAAATTTTATTTTAAAAATAAATGTTGGAGATTGATAAAATGAATAATATTAAAATTATTAAATTATTATAATTGAAAATTATCATATTTAAAGATTTAATTTGAATTATAAATGTTAAGAATTAAATATAATTGATGGAGTTTTTCTCTTTTTATATTTATTATAGATCAATATTTTAATCGATTAAAATAATTAATTTTTATTTTGTTAAATAACGAACAAATAAAAATTATTCATGATGAATGTGATTTATAGATGAAAATATTCTAATTTTTTTAATTCTAATTTCATTTAATTCATAAGATTAATTCTATAATTGATGAAAGAATTCTTGTTATATAAACAAATTCTAAATATTCATTTATTATTAATAATATATTTTCATAGAAAACTATTAGAATGAATCATCACGTTGATTATATTTTTATAAAATTTACTTTGGAGAAATATTGATATTAAAATCAAAAAAAAGAAAAGAAAAAAACAATGCACGAACTTTCAGGGTTCACCTTAATATAATCTTAAAAAAAAAAAAAATGAAGAAATGATTATTTGTTGCTGACCTTGCTTTTGGATGCTTGCAAATCTTGAGCAATTTTTCTTAAAGTTGTCCCGATGTCGATCAAAAACTGTTCGTTGCTTAATACATGGCCCGGATATTCGGAACAATTGTTCGACAATTCCCCATTGCAGACTGGTAATGCCTTTTTGAAAGGTACACGAACATTACTAGGTCTGTTCCTTCGTGGCCGTGGCCTTGGTGTTGGAGTTGGCACGGGATTTGTCCCCTCTTCTTCTTCTTCAACATTTTCATTATCGTAATTTCTAGTTCTTGTTGCATTAGCAGCAGCATAGGAAGCAGCTGCAGCAGCTACGGCAACTGCATTGCTGGACGAGCTGCATTCGGGAAATTGAAAAGTTGCATCCCTCGTTGGGCTGGTTGGTGCAGAAACCGTGACCCGTGGCGTAGGTGGTTGCAATTGTCGCATTGCTGACGATACTAAATCTGGTAATGGTGGTAATCCTGACATATCTTGATCTAACAGAACTAATCCAGACGGTCCAATAGCTACCCGATGATTATTAATATCTGCAAAATAAAATATTAAACCATATATTTATATTTATATTTATAATCATCGTCGAAAGAACATTTTTCATTTATTTTTTGCACATTTAAATATAATAATAAATGTATGAATTATTATAATATGTTGTTATTTTTGTTTCTCTTTATCGAAATTAATTAGAATTATTCAACGAACACATCGATGTCACATCAAACACACATATCCGAAAATTTTACATATCATCATCATCATCATCATTATTATTATTATTTCCGCGATTTACACGATTAAATTACAAATGTTATCGCAATTAAAAACGTAAAACATTGACGAGTACACACACCTTTTACAAATATGAAATTGACAAATCTAACACAACGAGACATACATTTACAATTAACACCGTCGAATCCAAAAATAATAATTTACATTTGAACGTGATTTTTTTTCGCTTTTCGTTTATATTACGTGATCTCTTTAAAAATTCAAAATAGGTCTAGAGAAAAAATAATGAATTGAAATGAAAAATTTATTTAGAATAATATTAGACGTGTGTTGTGTTTTATATGATACAATACTACTAACACACATATATCCTTCTCCATAAAAAAAACAAATCATCGAGAAATCATTTATAACACTGAACAAATATAATCAAAAATAAAATATATGAAAAACTTGACGCAACAAAAAGTATTACAATTAAAAATGATATGTAATATATCAATTACTAATTATATATTTTATAATTATTAATAACTATCGATCATATCTCGGATTTCTCTTATATTTTATTTTTCTTTTCTTCTTTTTAGTAATAAATTAAATAAATAGTATATACTATATTATACTATTTTATTATTATATTATTTATTAATAAAATATTTATAATAAAATATTATTATTATATTATTTATATTACTATATATTATATTATACTATTAATTATTATATACATAATATTATATATACTATACTATATAATAATAAATACTATAATAATATAATATAAATAATATATATAATAAATATATATATATTTCCTTCTCAAAAGTGTTACGAAGGGTGCGACGAAGGGAAATAAAAAGAAATAATACGAGAATGAATTTTGTTCACGAGCCCTTTGGAATTATAGGTTGTTATTTTGTTCTTTAACTCTTTCATCGATGTAAAAAAAAAAGAATTGAAAAATGAGAAGAAAAAAAAAAGAAAAAGGGTTTATATCGGTGTTAGGTATACACATTGTATCACGTCGTGTTGATCGTTCGACGTTTGAAATGATGTCGTCGTCGTCCCTGGTTAATGGAAAGGCATGAGCTACCGCTATCATGCTTATAAGGGTTTAACGTCAGCGTGTCACGCGTAACAAGGTAACACAACGTGTCCGATTATGGGAAGGAACGACATTGTTGGATAATGATCGTGTTTTAAAATACTTTTACGAAGGGCGAACGATCGACCTTCGAGTAACACTCGACGTCAGCAAATGAAAATTCCTTCTTACTTCCTATTTTTTTTTTTTTTTT